ATAGCCTCACATCCAGGGCCGGGGAGCTGAGAAGCGCACCCAGCGGGCCGGATGATCGGGATCGGGCTACGAGCTAGAGAGCCCTGACCCCTAGCTAGGGGGGGTGCGCGTTCGCAGGGAAAGGGCCGTAAAGTAAACACGGTTCTCCGAGGGTTGGTCTGCGCTTTGGCCCTAGTTGCGGAGCGCCCCCTCTACTCGGAGCTATATAATGGACACCAGACAGTCGTCGACGCTCCGAGGGGAGAGAAGTAGAGCTCTAATCTCGAGTGATTCTTCCTTTTCGTCGACGCGCGTGTGGGAAGGCCCCCGCACGGGGGGTCCCGGCCGACGTCATGATCGTCCGCCAAGGGTCTGGGGTCGCCCAGGCAAGTGGCCCAAATCCGATGAGTTTTCCAAGTGTGAACAGCTGTTGAGAGGTGTGAATTCATCCCAGGCGGGTTGCGGGGCGGCGGTAGCCCCGCAGAGAAAATTTTGCGTGCTAGTTGTAACCTCTTGTTATGTTGTATGCCTACATAATATGTTTGTAGTTCAATGGAACGTTTTGTTTTGTTTAAAGAATCTCTCGCTGGCCATCCTTCCAAGCATGCTCGCGCGCTCCTGGATCACCCTCCTCTCTCTTTCCAGGGTCGGCGGCGGCCTCCCGTAGAGTGCCGATTCAGAGTTCTTCTTTCTGTGTACCTGTGTTAGTGCCAGTGCGCCTGTGTGAGGCGTTGCTTGGAGCTTGCTACTTTCTCTCTGTTGTTAGTGCCAGTCCCGTGCCCAGTGTTGTGCGAGGGAGCTTTGTTGTAAAATTCTCTGTCGGCTTATTTTGGGGAGGGTCCCCCCGGCGGGGTACTGTGCCGTACGAAAGTCTGTGCAGCTTGTCAGGGACACGATCCCCGCCGGCGTGAACACGACTAACTGACGGATCCGCTCCTGACAGTCGCACGCGCCGCGCTGCGGCGCGTGCGACTGTCTTTGTTTGAAGTTAAAAGTCGAATCAGAGCGCCGTCGGCGCTGTCCCTCGTTTTCCTCCCACGGACCGCCCGTCCGGGACCGCTCCGGGACGCACGCCGGCGAAGCACCATCAAGCTGCTGTACGGCCCCGGCATCGCCTCCCCTGGCTTAGCTAGACTGAGAGATATTATGCACATGGTCAGTCTCTACAATATATACACTGACACTTCACCTCCCAGAGCTCGTCCCGGTCCGCCACGGCCATCCTCGGCCTCCGGCGGGCCCCCGGCCGCGGCGCGGTGCGGCGGCGTCACAAATCCGACCACAGAGCACCGGGACGCGGTCGGGCGATCTGAGGCCCAACTAGGCGTATGCATTGCCCATCCAGGGCTATCACCTGGACCTATCAACAGGCGCCTGCGGCGCCGTGCTCAGGAGCTGATTGATTGATGGGAAGGCGAAACACAGTCCGACCAACGACTGGGACACCAACGCGGTATGGGTGGACGCTAGACGGGCGATGACGGTCACACAGGAGCGACACACAGAACCACAAGACAAGACACTCAGCCGAACTGACTGCCACACATCCTGAGCGAACTTCCCTAGTCACCCGCGGCCGGACTCCATCCGGCACGCGTCGCTGGGCGCTCAGAGCTGCGTCCCCTGCTCGCCACCCCGACGCCCAAGGCGCCCGAGCGAACGACAGGCGGCACGCGAAGACTGGTTGCAATCCCGCCGACCGCCAGGCCGCGGGATGATGAGTGCGTGGTCTTGTAGTGGGTCTCGGAAGCTCTCCTCTCGGGCTAGGAGCCAGCCCCTCTCCCTTGCCCTCGGAACACTGTGTCCGAGTCGAGGCGTGTGTGCTTGCCGGTCGACGGCCGCGCGCGGTTGGCATTGTGACGAGGGTTGCGCGCGGCCGCGGCGCGCCCGCCATGGTTCGGCGCGGCGCGCCTACCAGCGGCAATTGTCGAGGCACGGGAACGCTTACCCGGGGTCATCCTCTGAGCCTGCAGCCTGGTCGTCGGCGCCGCGATGCCACGGCGGCGCATTCGACGTCGTCGGCGCGCTGCCCCGCGGTGAGCCCCGCCGCACGTGGCGACGGCCGCAGGTTGGCCCGGTGCAGCGCGCCCTGGCCGCAGACTGAAGAACGGCCACGAGGGGTGTGTGATGTGCGGTGCGGGGTGTGAGGGGGCAGCGTCTTTGTGTGTGCGCGCGCGCGCCGCTGCCGGGAAAGAGCGGGGCCCTCGGGGTACGCCTCGCCCGGCCCCCTCCGAGGGGGTCGTGATCTGAACTGGAGAGGGGGGGGGGGGTCGGCCTTGAGAGCGTACGGAGCTGCTGTTCACAGCTGCACAGACTTTGGTACCGCACAGTACCCTTTCCGGGGGCCCTGTCGGTGGCATGCCATCCCATTCAGCCTACGCCACCCTCGGCGTTCCTCGGGGCGCAACGGCCAAAGAGATCCGCATTGCATACCGCGACAAGTGCCTGCTCCTGCACCCCGACCGCACGGCTGCACCGTCACGCGGGTCGTCCGCTGCATTCCTGGCGGTGCAGGAGGCGTATGAGACTCTCAAGGATGATCTGCGGAGGCGGGAGCACGATGCGTCGCTCACTGCTCGAGCTCGTCGACCGCGTTACGACCCGGAGCTCGACTCGCCCGAGCCAGCAC